CTGCTTCTCCCTCTGACCCTCCCCCCTCTCATGTGTTCTCTCTCATTCTCTCTCTCTCAAATAAATAAATAAAATCTTTAAAAAAATAAATAAATAAAATGTGCAGTCTGTTAGTCTCTGTAGCTGCTTATTGTTTCACTGCCCTTTTCTAAAATATCCCTCTTCATTAAGGGTGTTTCAGCAGTTCATCGCGGTGGATATTCACCATTATTACTCTCAAAGCAGAGGCAGGAAAGATTCTTCCATTCCTAGGGAATCTATGTTCCTCTGATGAAGATCAGCATGATAGTCCTAATGCCAAAATATCTGCATGATCATCCTCATGCCCCTGGATCTGGCCCAGGAATTTTATTTGGATTATCACGGAAGACAGATGGGGACCGGGAAGTGTGTACAAGGGAGATAGGAACAGTGAAGTTGCTGCACTGTAATTCCTTCCTTGCTGAATCAACTCTCCCATCTCTCCTATCTCTAAACTCAGCCTGAGAAAGAGAGGGCAGGTAGTGGAAAGAATGGTAGACTTGGAATCAGGGACCTGAGTTCTAGTCTCTGTCCCTCTACTAACCTGGCAAATGATACTCTGAGCCACAAAAGAGCCTACTCTGTGCCAGGCACTGTGGTAGGTAAGTGACATTTGGCACCTTAAGTCCTTACAACAATCCTGCCATGTCAGTGTCATACTCCACTTTACCAACAAAGACACTAAGGCTCAGAAAGATTAAATAGTTTACAAGTTTGTGATTCTCAGCTATAAAATAAAGGAACCTGAACTACTTAAACTCTAATGTTCCTTATGATGATCCTTCCATGTTTTCATCCTCATTGACCTTCTTTTTTTGCCTTTCTTCTCTTTTTCTTTAATTTTTTTGGTTGTTGTCTTTTTTTTTTTCCTTCTCTGATACCTCATAACAGCTACAGAGACTAACTGCACATTTTAGCTGCTGCCTCTTTATGATGGACTAAACATTACAAATAAAATTCTAATTTTATGTTTGGAAATTAATATAAATTCCTTGTAGAAACCACTTTTGTTCACTTATGTTATGACAATATGCCTGCTTGAATAATAATAAAATAATAATAATGTCAAAAGCTATAGAAAGATCTACTTCCTTGTCCAAGCCTGGGAAATCTGCAGTCAGAACTCCTTGCTCCAATTTCGCTCTGTATTGTTGACTTTATTATTAATACTTGTTCATGCATTCATTCATTTCAATAAACATTTATTGATGACTCCACTCTATGACTGGAACTGCATTAGGGCCTGGCGACACAAAGAATAAGATTCTATCCTTGTCTTTAAAGGCTCTCATAGTTAAAACTACTCAACAGGTATTATTGCAACTTGTAACTTATCTTTGGAAACTCAAAAAAAGATCTTCAAAGGAAAGTATATAAATTATATATAATTTATATAACATTTTTTGGTCATGTCTAGTAGCCTAATGGCATGCTGAAGCCAGCTCATACAGATTCAGGAGACCCTATTGTTAACACCCCTTTCCAGCTCCGTGTTCAGTGATACTACCATGATTGCCTGAAGCCAGTCACAGTAGGAGTGTTTATACGATGGAAATTGGAAAATGCTATAAATCAGGGATTACCGCCCCCACTCCACGCTTGCAAGAGCCAGTGGTTAAGCATTTATCAGCATACTGTTGACTGGCACTTAAATGCTAAGGAAAGGGGCTTTCTCAAGGCTGCATTTCAAGGACTTTCCCCAGATTCCCCCAAATTATAAGTTTCTCAATTGCCACCTTATAACCTGTATATTATTTCTATGACATTAGTTGGAGTTTGGAGTTGGAAAAGTCCAGATGAACTTCCTTCACTTACTGAGCTCAGAAGCCACCCACATGATCACCATTCACTGTCTAAACACGCCAGCGTGGACAAGTGCTCAGTCAAATGGCTCAGGATTGCCTATTGGCTTCAAGGGATGGAATGGCCAGATTTTTGAAGAAAACACTCTACTTGAACCTAAAGTGCTTTCAGATGACTGCAAGGTAAGGGATGGCACTTTTAGAATTGTTCAGTATAACTAACATAAAATTGATAAGGCCATAAAATTAAAACAATGGATTTAAGACTTTAACTGCAAACTGAAGATCCAGAAGGGTAGTAAGTTTTAATGTGCCCGATTTGTAATGGCATTACATTTTTCAGAATCAATCATTTGCTTATATCATATCTTGTCAACTTCTGTCACACCCACTGGTCATCCATGGATTTTTATATGCAAAACAGACGTTAATACATAAATTTAATTTTTATTGCTCATATGAAATATTTATATTACCCCTGCATGGATAGAAAGAGCACATAAATAAATAGATTGATTTCTTATATTTTCACTACTGTAATTCGACATCTCATTATGTATGGAATACAGGTTATAGAGGCAAGTCCGTTGTATTTCATCTTGTCAGCCCCTATACTTGATACTACATATGGGCAGAATTGCAGATTGACTGGCCCTAAAAATCAGTATTTGAATAATAGCTCATTTTTCTTACTAAAATTAAATAACAAATGTTGAAAAGTCTATAATCTTAAAATACTGTGGTATAAAGCAGGTGTCAGCAAACTACAGTCCACAGACCAAATCCGGCCCACCACTTGTTTTTGTAAATAAATGTTATTGGAACATAGCCACACTCATTCGTTTACTTATTATCTATGGTTGTTGTCACACTGTGATGACAGAGTTAATTAAATGTGACAGACTATGGCTTACAAAATCTAAAACATTTGTTACCTAGCCCTTTACAGAAGAATTTCCCAACCCTGTTGTAAAGAGCAGCCACTTTACATACATATCATTAATGATTTTAAGTAGCTTGGTTTCCTGTTCGTGTGTACCATGAAGCCCGTGATTTAACATCTCTTACCATTTCCAGGGGACTCTACTTTTTCACATTTTATTTTCAGACGAATAGTGCTTGAGTATTTGAAAAATGAGAGGCAAACAGTTAGAAATATATGGCTCATTCTCTATAAGCAAAGAGATCAATATTATCAAGAAACTCATTTAACTTTAATAATTTTTTCCGGAAACTTTCAGTGACTCACTACTATCTCTGAGACACAATCTAAACTTACCAGCTCTTTGTGTAGCACTTAAAACAGTCAGGCCCCACCTGCCTTTCTAGTTTGGGCTTTCAGTGGCTGTTAACCCTGAAGTATGGCCAAACTGATCTGTTAATAATAATAATAAAATCAACAATAATTCCAACAATTAGTCATTGGGGCCTTATTATATAGCAGTTACCCTGTATTACATACATTATTTTATTTAATTATAACAGCTTTGTAAAGAAGTTTCATTTTATAGGTAGGAAAGTGAAGGCACGGAGAGGTTAAATAACTTGCTCAAGGTCATGTAGCTAATTAGCGGAGAGCAAGAAATAAACCCTAGGTGTGTATAACTCCAAAGCGCATATGCCACACTATACTGCTAGGTACTTTAACTGAAATCTCATTTAATCCTCACAACTGTGTGGGGTGAGTTTTTATTTTTCAAATTTTACACGTAAAGAGAATGGTGGTACCTGGATTTCTATCAAAATCTGCACTTCATCCCCATGCTAGGCTTATTTTTGCAACCATCTTCTACTTTTCCAGCAGTTTTTTGTTTGTATGTTTGTTTTTACTCATGTCATTATCTTTCTCTGAAATGCCTTCTCTACCTCTCTAACTAAGTGGAAATACTAGGCATACTTGAAGGCCCATTTTAAATTCTGAATTCTGAACTCATGAAGCTTTCCCTGAGTACCTCAGTTGGAAATGAGGAATTTAGCACTCACTGTCTATGTTATTTATGCTGTGCTCACTATGTGTTGTCTTGTGTTATGTCTATGTGTTTGTGTTTCCCCTCTCCAACTAGATTTATAAGCTGCTAGTATCCAAAAGCCAGAACTAGGGCGCCTGGGTGGCTCAGTTGGTTGAGTGACTGCCTTCGGCTCAGGTCATGATCCTGGAGTCCCGGGATCGAGTCCCTCATCGGGCTCCCTGCTCAGCGAGGAGCCTGCTTCTCCCTCTGACCCTCCCCCCTCTCATGTGCTCTCTCTCTCATTCTCGCTCTCTCTCTAATAAATAAATAAAATCTTAAAAAAAAAAACAAAAGCCAGAACTAATTTATTCATCTTCGTATTTCCCAAGCACTGTTAGAAAATAGAGGATTACGTCTTATTCAACTGTGCCAATTGTACTTAGTATTCAATAAATATTGCTTGAAAGACTTAACGAGTTAATCTCCCATCCAAGTACTAACCAGGCCCGACCCTGCTTAGCTTCCGAGATCAGACGAGATCGGGCGCGTTCAGGGTGGTATGGCCGTAGACGACTTAACAAGTTAATCTAATGGTGTCTTACACACACATACCAAGCTGATGACTAGTAAATGGAATTTATAGCTTAAATAATCGCTAAGGATCCCTCAAATTTTAAAATTTCTATCATGATAATTCTGTAAACGAGGAGGTGAATAAACTCCTTAATAAAAAGCTTCACAAAACTAGTCAATTGTATTTCTCTATTTTTTCTCGTTGATCTTAATCATAAGAGAGTTTATGATATGTTTTTGTTCCATAGTAGAATTTGTCAGAAACAAAAGAGCATACAGTAATAAGAAAAACAGAAAGGCCTAGAAAGAAGAGAGGAAACAAACTGTATAAACAGTAACCACAGACTGGAAAAAAAGAAACCTAAAAGGTGATTCAACATAATTATAATTTACTTCTGACTGAAGCAATTCTGGTTATTTCCTGCCTGAAGTTCAGAGAGGGTGAGATAGCTCGTTGCGTTTCATCCAAGAATGCCCATCCTAAAGAATCAGCCCCAGATGAAGGAACACACAACAGATGGGTGTTCCTCAGATTAGGAATAGCACAGCCTTTTAATTTATATCTGGTCCAATGATCCACAGACAACAGAAGCAGAAGCCTAGCCTTAGTCCCTGAGACTGAAAAATCAGAACACTCGGTACCATTTAGAGAAAGGAATGAACCCATGTTTTCAATTAGCCCTAGTGATTGTTACCATTGAGCACTTACTCAATACCAGCACTGACTCTGTTCTGGGCACTTTCTATTCGTTATCTCTAATCCTTAACTAAATCTTCAGTTGTCTGACAGTGAAGGGCATTGTCTGCTGAGAATGACTGCTAATGACACAATTACATACCAAAGCATTTTGTTCTTGTTTTACAGATTCAAGATGGCAGGTGGCATAAGGCAAAATTCCTTTTTCACACCCAGGACCCTAATCAGCTTCCAGTAACTGAAGTACAAAAACTTCCTCATCTCAAAACCCAGAGGAAGTACTACATGGAAAGCAGTTCCGTATGCTTTCTCTAAGGTTTCTGAATTAGTTCAGAATTCGTGCTGTTGGCCAGGTAATTGCTGCAGAGGGAAAAATTCAGACAGAAAGATACTATCATTGTGAAAGGCATGGAATAAAGCATTGGCTAAATCTTAAAGAATCTCAGGAAGAAAAGATTTCCTCCTAAGAAGGAGAAAAGGCATTTTTTAAAGGACTATAATTGATAAAGTATTTAATTCTTTAAAAAAGTATATGGATCTGAGCTTTCTTAGAGAATTCCCTAGAACTGAAAATTTATAAGCATGGAATTCTTCAGGGTATCCTCTATTTTTTGACTGAGAGCGAAGTACCCATTAGACAGCTGGAGATGCAGAGCACTGTGGAGCAATACTGGCTAATGCTTCCAAATGTGCAATGCTTCTGTCTAAAAATTACAAGCCACAGTCTAACATGTCTTATTTTCCCAAACACTAAGCTGTATTCAGGTCCCCAATGGGCATATACATCTTAGCCGGTGGTGCACTACCTCTTACGTGTTGCCTTTTTGTGTTGCTCGGTGCTCTTTCTGAAACAAGGTGCTTGTGGCTTTCAGAGACTATTTTGTTTCTTTTTTCGTCTTTGTCATTCTTTAAGAGTGTATGTACTGGTTACATCAAGATGTGTTTTGGTTGTTAGTACTTATTTTAATTTGTTTGGCTACATACTTAATAGCAAGTAAGACACTATTTATGTGAAGTCCTTGTTCTATTTTAAAATTCTCTTCGTGGATATGGAATCAAAGCCAGCACACTGTCATCACCTGTGCTCACGGACAAGAGAATTGGGAGGTTTCTTTTGTTTTTATTTTTTAAATTGCTGTAAAAAATATTACAGGCCAGCTACTTCCAGTAGTAGGTTTGGGTTAGAGTTTGGGGTTGTGATATACTATTTTTAAAAATCCATGATCATCTGGAATGATACTATGTATATATATATTTTGTGAAGTTCTAATTCAGCGAATCTTTTGAAATTGCTGCTTTTAAATTATAAAAACCATTATTTCTGCTTCATAGGAATTACATGTTTTGTAGTATTCATTGATTTTATTTCACTATTCTTAAATTTACTGTGTTGGGACCTAAAAGAATTCAATTTGCCAGTCTTTAAAGCAACATTCAGGAAAAAAAAAAGTCTTTAGCCATTTAAAATAGGCTCAGCCCATTCAGACTTTCCTTGTCAGAGAAGTGCTAGTTCAGTATTAAAAGAAAAATATTATACCTTTTGGTATATAGAAAAGCTTGTACATCCATTATAAACATATCTTTAGCCACAGCAAACCACACTTACCTATCTATAATAAAAATGTGCTTTAAATCTTTTTTTGGTGGTGTTCGTTTTTCTTCTTTTGTTACCATGTCCTTTTATTATGTATGATAGCCCTCTGGCATAGTCCTTCTGTACTCTGTACATTTGCATCATTACAAAGTATCTGTTAGATACCTATAAGAGGATTATAGGGTTTATCTCCTACTTGTATAAAATGAGGTCATGGCACAGAATAAACTCTCTCATATATGGTCAACTGACTTTCAACAAAGGTGCCAAGACCATTCAATGGGGAAAGGACAGTTTTTTCAACAAATGGTGCTGGGAAAACTGGATATCCACATGCAAAAGAATGAAGTTGGACCCTTATCTGATATCATATACAGAACAACTCAAATGGAGCAAAATGCTAAATATAAGAGCTAAACCTATAAAACTCTTAGAAGAAAACATAGGAAAAAGTCTTCATGACATTGGATTTAGCAATGATTTCTTGGAGATGACACTAAAAGCATGTTCAAAAAAAGAAAAAGATAAATTGGACTACATCAAAATTAAGAACTTCTGTACATCAAAGGACACTATCAAGAGAGTAAAAAGACATCCCACAGAATGGGAGAAAAAATTTGCAAATCTTATATCTGATAAGGAATTAATATCCCAGAATGTATTTTTTTTTAAACTCCTACAGCTCGGCAGCTCTTTCTATCCACAGATCCTGTTCCCATGCTTTAATAAAACCACCATTTTTGGAGCACCTGGGTGGCTCAGTCATTAAGCGTCTGCCTTTGGCTCAGGTCATGATCCCAGGGTCCTGGGATCGAGCCCCACATCAGGCTCCCTGCTCAGCGGG